GAGATTATGACTTTAAAGGATGAAGTATTTGATTCAAGATTGTTTGTAAACTAGTAATATTAACAGAACAATTTAGCAACAATTGCAAGAACTATATATTATATACTATTATACATATATATTATATATATTAATATATATAATATCATATATATATATAAATCTAGTCATGATATATGTTAATAGTATATATACTCATATTACTACATAATACTAACGTATATATATACTACTATATATATATATATATATAGTATACGTACAGTATATATACTAAAATATAGTATATAACTTACGCGATATAATTATACTATATGAATGAGATATTTATGAAGCAAGCTACAATAAGCAGGAATATTCAAAGCAATTAATAGTAAACTATTAAGTAATGCAATTATAAATTCGGATTTAATAAATGGGCGGTAAAATTAATTTTTTTTAATAAACAGTAAATGTAATTTTTTTTGAGTGAACAGTAACTTTTGATGGACAATAACCTTTTTTAATTAAATTTTTTGGATTAATAAATTGAACAAAATATCCAGCAATAATTAAAAGCAGTTAATAAGAATTTAAAAGTAATTAATTGAAGGTAAAATTATTTTGGATTTAGAAAATTAACAGTTATAAACTCAATCTTCTAGATTGTTGGATAAAAATCAAATAAATTTATAATATGCAAAATCCGAAATTAAAGAAAATCAAAAATTCTGGCTTGATCGGGAGCAGTCATGCTAACACTGCCCTAGAAGATTGAGGACCCGCCTATCACCCTGACGAGATAATCCTCTCTCCCTTAGCGGTAAAAACCCCCCGAAATTCGACCGATCTCTGTACTCGGGCGAGAGTTCAGAGCTTCTGCTCAGATTAAGAAGGTTGCCCGAAAATAACACCAAAATATGGACGAAAATCGCTTTTGAAAGCAGACTAGAGAAGAGAAAGAAGAGAGACTTGTTGTGTTTTCCGAACTCATCCAAGGGATGTATATATAGGGTTTGGAAGCCTTAGCCGTTGTAGAAAAACGGTAACGTTCACCATAATTACGCGACCGTTTACACGTTTTCCATTTAACTCAGCCATTACACACAAAAAAGTGCAAAATAAAGCCAGAGAAAACAAAAAACGTGTGAGTGGGGCACGCGCGCGTCGCGACGTGGCGAGGCGAGGTGCGCGCGCGCACGTGTGTTATGTAAAGCCCAAACAATATAAAACCCAAAACACTACTCAAAGCCCAATAAGAGGAGAACCATTATAAGTCCATGTGGGACTATTCACAAAGGCAATTTTGCCTTTTCTCCCACAGTATAGCCAAGACGTATGCTATGGCGCTGAGGAGCATGCCTTTATATCCGCCTTTCAAAAAGGTCCCGTCAAAAAATAATAGGGGTCTAGATCCATTTAAGAAACCAATGATGCAAGCAACATAACATATGAACAGTCTTCTACACCTTCCTTCATTCTATTCAATGCAAATGTAGCTTCCTGGATTCGTTTTTTTCACCATGTGTTCATACATGTACATCAATGTCACCACATTTCATATAAATTTAATACATTGGAGCAGACAAGTATTAATTTTTTAAAGTTATCGTCCAACAGTGAAAGTTAACATCTAGTTGTTAAAGGTATTATCTAACTGAATGCTAACATTTATCTAACTGAAAGTTAACATCTTAACATGAATGCTAACAGTTATTCATGAAACATAACATCCCATGGTGATAGTTAATATATATCAATGAAACTTAACATGAAACGTCTAAGGTTAATATATTTCACGATAAATTAACAACTAACATTGTACTATAAACGGATACCAATAAAATTTGTATATTTAATAAAAAAAACTGTAAAATTTACCATCTTAATTGATCATAAGACTCATAACTATCACCGTACATATCTTCTTATGCTCTTTCTTTTCCCCCACCATTTATTACTATATTCAACTCTTAATCCATATCGAGTGAGAAACTCTTTTTGCACATCAATTGGGCGGATTTCGGGCCAAACCTTTAATACAGGTCGCAATTAGGCTGCTATGAATTTGCGAGATGCACGTGATTGTCTTGACAAGTTAGTATATTATCTGCATTTGTGTTCATTCACAAACCTTTTGATTTTAATTCTTTTTTCATTTTAACAGGAGAGGCAAATAGCATCCAAGTGCATCCATATGTCTTCTTATATTGACAATAAACTGGGATATGTTTGGGTTCATTCTTTGCAAATTCATAACCAAACTTTTCGCTAGTATTGCGAAGCTAGTCTCAATTCATTTACACTTGCAAATTATTACCCTTTTTTAGTTAATGTTGTGTGCCACAATTGAGGAATGACGGAAGTGTTGTTGAGAATATCATTAGCTCTCATTACATTCTCACCAGATGGGCAATCATTTTGGATTCTCTTTGAATTAGAAGCATTTCCTGGAGGAGGATGATTATATTCTGTATTTAAAGAGGTATCACTGCTGCACAAATTAATGAACCAGTGAGATATCATATTCAACTATAATATAATATTATCTTCTGATATTTTAAATTAACAGCTTCTTATGTAAACTAATAGGTAACTGTGAGCGTTAACTGACTAGGAGTAAAATTAACATGTTTTGGTAAAACTTAACATAGAGAAGTGGAATTTAACAAACTATACACATAGTTAAAACTCTAGGATGAAAGTAAACAAGTTCATGAAAAAACTAACATGTTCATGTGAAAGTTAACATGTTTGTGTGAAAGTTAACATATCTTGTTGAAACTTAACATGTTACATGAAGAGTTAACATCTAACCATTAAAGATAATAATTATATTTCGTCTATGCATTGAAACCTAAAATCACAAAGCTCATAACACACAAAAGCACAGTTTTAAAAAGAGTTTATCGATTACTTACATTTTAGTAAGAAAATTTTGATTTTTTCAGAAGTAGAACCCTCTATATTAACAACTTGCATGTGAATCTCCGTACAACCAGTATTTCGATTGTGCTCCAACATGCACTTCAAATCATCTTCATTATCAACTGAAAAACTCAGGTTCGGGTGCCTCTCAGATTTATATATCAATGATAAAGCATCTTGATGTACTTTTAGTCTTTCAAACACATCAAATTTCAATTCAAAAAAGCTTGTTGTAGATCTTAGCATCAAGAATATAGCCTTCTCACCTAACGACACCATGCAAATCAAGTTTCTGGCGACCATTGGGGGTTGTTGAAAGTTATGAGGAGTAATTGAGTGAATTTTTAGGACATAAGGGGTTATTAGAAGTTGAAGAATAAAAACCCTAATATCATAAATGAGAGAGTGAGAGATAAAACTATAAAATATACAACCCATGATGAGTTAGATCAGTAATGGAGGGAACCCACGGCTTTTTCCCTCCATTTTCGCCGTTGAATCGCATTAAAGAGATCACCGGCTCCATAGGTGAAGGAGACGGTTTCTTGGGTGAGAGAAGATAGCATTTTAAGTACACTGGTGAAAATACATAGATTACATGTATAATAATGGGCTTTTAGGCTGGACCACACTTTTTTGGTTCTTTTGGGGCTAGAGAGTAAGGAAAAAAAAGTTGATTGGGCTGAACCACATCAGCTTCGTTATTTTGGGGCATTGACACATTTTCCTTATTTTTATATTTTAAAGCGATGTAGAGAGGACAAGGTTTTTATCCCAGAAGAGACGGATTGGGATTTCTTTAAAAAATAATCAGTGATGGCCTTCCTTGTCCTAATTGTTATAGGACTATATCAGAATAAAATATCTGTTAATGGGGTAAAGCCTTAAAAATGCAGGTTTATTAAAGATGTAGGGTTTTTTTTTGGATAATTTTGTCATAAAATCTTCAATAATTCCTTATTAGTCCCTCAAAATTTGAAAATTGTATATTAGAATCTCAAATCTTATAGGATGTTACAAAATGGTTTTATGGTAAACTCATACTAGATTTAAGGTTGAAGGTAAATTGGCAATTTTACCCCTTAGTTAAGTTCTCTAAATTTGTTTCTTAATTGGTTTAAACACAACACCCGCTTAAAAAAAATTTGTTCTTGTCGTCTGAAGCATTGTTTACTTCATAGTGATAGAAGAATCAGGACAGGATGCAAGAATGGGATTAGATGGGATTGTTGTACATATTTTTCGTATATGAATTATATAGTAATTATTATTCTTATAAACTATTGTGCTTAGAGTTGCTCAAGGATGTGATTTTTTTAATTTATACTCGACTTATACGTGGTAACAAATAACTACGTTGTATCAATGGAGAAAGAAAATGTCCTTTATGGGCTAGATATGTTCAGTAAAGGTTAAAAAAGAATAAACCACACCATTCTTGGCTTCATAACGGTTGTGACATGTTTAGCAAGGGTTAAAAAAGAATAAACCACTCCATTCTTGGCTCCATAGCAGTTGTCTTATTTTGCCCAAAAGGAGGAGGGGGGAATATTTGCCTGAGAAGTGAATTTTCTTCTGTGATTAATTAAAACAACATTGTTGCAAAATCAATCTTTGGTTTAATTCGTGCATCAGACTTTTATCTTTTGTCAATCATACTTTGAGTTCATATGAATTTATTTCTCTTTCACCATTCGTGTAAATTCCTAGCTTTTACGCAAAATAAAATTTTGAAGTTCATATTCATAATATTGGACCTAATGGGTTGCTTTCAAAAGATCAAATTAATAACAACGTAAAACTAAAGGCTAAAGGAATTCTAGCCGAGAAAGAGAACCCTCATGTTTTAGTGCATATCTAGCCATGCCGTAAAATCTACTCTCTCAAAAACTTGATACCATGTTAGTTACGGCCGAACCAGAGCCTCGGAAACTTAAAAGTAGGACAAACATAGAAACTTTTTACACTCCTTGAATTGCATTATATGATGTGCCTGAGCAAATTTAACCAGCAACATTATCAATATATCATGTTTCAATAAGCTAATGTATTTGAATAACAACTTTTGACCAAAATGTTACAGAGAATTTCCATCACCAGCAAAAGAGTCTGACCATAAATTATAAAGTACTCTATAATCAATACAAATACACTAACAGTCCCATTTATGTTCCATGTATTGTACAACAAATTAGAATACTGGCAGTAACTTTTTTTGGGTCAATCTACCATCAGTAGATATGCACAAGCTCTCTAATACGCGAAAGATGAACTAATATACAATGGTTATTTGCCAAACGAGTTAATCTTACTCTGAGTAATAGTCATCTTCTTCCATGAAATTGTACTCCTTGAGGCCATCAAGCCTGAGTAGCAAAGTTCCTGAATTTTCTTCACACCAATCAATACCTTCCCTCTTAACCAGGGAAATTACCTGCAATGATCAATTGAAGCCATATAGAATAAGATGTGTCCACTGCACATATTCTACGATAATCTCTAAAATCAAAAATTTTCAGAAAGACTCCTGAGTGTAAAAGAGTCAAAAAAATTCAATCAGGGGGTCTATCTACGAATATTAAAAGCAAAGGAGGTAATAAGTTCAAAACAACAATACTCTGAAGGGGTATTATCTTCAGTTAACCGAAAAATAAATGCATAGTTCAAAGAAAATTGATGGTTCATTAACATGTTGCACTTATTTTTATTTTTATTTTGTTCTTTAAAAGCAGTTGAACAACACGCTCAAAATATCTTCAAGCATGGAATGCTATCAATTTTTCTTCAGTCAATTAACCACCATCCCCATCTATTGAGCATGTAATTTCTCTAATGCATGCAGCACAGAGACCAGAATTATAAGGTGGCGATGATCGAGATCCAAGTTAATAAAGGCACATAAAAGTTTGTGTATCCAGATGTAAAGTAGAAGCCTTCTAAATTCTAGTCAAATGCTTACATAAACAGAAAAAAACAAAGGAAGAAAATATTAAGCTCTTTCTATAAGAGAGAGCAAAGCAAAATACACTTGGCGGAGCATTCAAATGGATGATCCCAATAGTTTTTTCATGTTTATGCATTTAAATACAATCCAATTTGCAAATCTATACAAGTGAATCAGTTGGTCATTTGTTTAAAAATTGGGTCAAAGTATCAAATCAAAATACAGAGGAATGAAATCTTTAACCATAGTTACTTCTTGTCTGTTGATGTTTTGAGGAAATACGTATCATAACCAAGAGGGTAGTCACCCATTTGGCATGATTTCACAATGTTCTCTTGAGATTCTAACTCATACAACAGAATGAGGCTTATTAAATATTTTCGATTCCATTACTTCAATAATAGGAGTATAGTANACATGAAAAATTATAATCCATCCATCAAAGTAGATGGATGGCCCACAAGCCCTATTAGAATCTGTGTAATGTTTTACGACCATGTTTGTTCCCAAGGGCAGTGTATGTAGCAGAATAAAATTTTATCATGCAGCGGTCATACAAGAGGATCATTCATATAGTAATATTTTTTCTGAATTTATAATGGTTGTTTGCTATGATCTTCTTTTCTAGAGGCTATAGCCTACAGGATGACCTAAATTCATTGCACAAATTTTATCGTGCAGGAAGTCTACCTAGCTTCTAATAGTCTCCTACTAGATTGTCTTGATATATCTTAATAATCTTGTCTTAGTCTATCTCTATGTCTGTCTACTTCCATGAGTGAACATTCTAATAATAAGGTCCTTCTATGCACCATTATCAAACTTAATGGTCTGAACTATCTTCTGTTGGCCCAAAATTTTCAGTCTTCTGATGGTCTCAGCGAAGATTGGATCATCTGAAACACGATCCCGATTGACCCAAGGAAGGAACGTTTGTAGAATGACAACAAGATAACTAGTTGTGTTCTAACATGGCTTTTAAATAGTATACCCACCGCTGGTAACACAATAGTTGGGAGGTTCCAATATGGCTTCCACAGTCTTGGGTTCGATTCCAGGCCGGGTTAACAAAAAATAAAATTATGAAGTCCCTAGCTCTATGGTAATGTTTCTCCCTAATGTCAAATAAATTTGGAATACACTCAAGAAGATATACTCCCATGAGAAAATATATCACAGATCTATGAGTTAAACAAGAGATCCTCTCATAGATTGTGTGCATTACAGGACAGAGTGTTACGCCTCTAATAAAGGGATGTAGGGGTAAAATGATGATTCATTAACCCTTGACAGAAGATATGAAAATCAATTATATTTTGCTTTTTCTAAGCTAAGGAGCAAAGCAAGTGTAGCAGGTGAACTTCACAGATGCGTCACATTTTTATAATATAATTGTATCATACACAACCACTCACTGTATTAGGCATGTTGTTTCTCAGTTTTCATATCATATATATTATTTTAATAAAAGCAAAAACAAATAATGACATAATAACAATGACCTAAGCATATTCCCATTAAGCTATTCTATTCAAGAATCATGAAGCATTCTATTGAAGCATGGAAAATTACTAGATTAGCCTAGTGTAAGAAAACTTGGTTTATAGGGCCATACTTATGCATGCGTCAACATATACATACACTTAATAAATGATGCAATTTGCTGGCTAGAAATTATCCGCACATCTGATACAATGTAGATGGGTATCTGTTGCGTGTCTGCATATGTTGAGCGCATATTCCATCATGCTGCTGCATACGCAGACACCATTTAGGGGCTGTTTGGTTCGTTTCCTTGATTTAGAGAAATGCAATTCCATGTAAAGAAACACAAGTTTTGAGTTTTCCAAACTTTTCTAAGAAATAGATTGTTTTGCTTTGGTTCGCACATAAAAAATAGTGGGAAACTAATGTATTTATTTTTCTTGTGTTTGGTTCGCATAGAAAAAAAGGAAAACTTTTGTAAACAAAGCAGAGAAGGAAAAAAATCTGACGTGGCAGAGTTTTCATCAATTTTCACTTGGTTGGGGAAGGAAATCGGAGAGGGAAGAAAATCTTAGTTGGCGGCGATTTCAGCAGAGTTTTCCCTCTTCCATCCGGGCGAACCAAAGTGGCACAAAGAAATGGGCGGAAACAAAAAAACTGACGTGGAGGGCTAAAAATCTGACGTGGAGGGGTTTTCTGAGTTTTCCACCCCTTATAATAGCGAACCAAACAGTCCCTTAGGAGTGAGTAAATTTTTTGAACCCAACCCAAATAACCATAGCCGCAAACATCACTTAATAAACCTGATCCCTTCTATTATCCATACCCTTCTTTAACCCCACCTCCCTCATTGCTAGAATTTTAATTGCCCTCTCTCAACTGAACGTCGTCTATAGTTGTTGCTAAAATGCAGTTTAACATTCATTGTTAATAGGGTCCTACCATGCTATTTGATCCATCTGCATGCAATCATGCATTGATATCAATTTAGACATTCTATATTATATGATACCTTTCATGTATTCCATAATTTTCTGGAAATTTCTGCTAAGTTTCTTTTAAAAAATAGTTAGTACATATGGGTTATGTGGTTTGAGCATAAAAGTGTACAACACATATGCACTGTGAGATGCGTAAATTGAATGCATATTCGGGTGGGACTGGGAAATAGTTTGAACTTGATATATCACTCAGGCTACTCAGCTAACCTGTGCCTACCTGTAACCCAAAACCCTCCCAGATCCAACCAAAGAGGGGGCTTGGGGGTGGGAGATGGGAGGAGGAAACAAGAACAAAAGTCAAATTCATCCCTTCGCTTTCCGCACCTTATCTGTTCTAGGATTTTCATTCTCCTCTCTCGATTGAGTTTCCCGATCTTTACTTGTTGTTTATACTGTTTTAAGTTCTAATACTTTTATAAGTCCTACCATGATATTCAATTAATTGGTATTTAATATCAACATTTAGTAATATGCATTCATTATTTCTTTCTTGGATTTTCTGAATTCTGTTTGAATAAAAAAAAAGAAAATCGTATGTATATATATATATATATATATGAGAATAATGGGTATCATATGTTATATGAGAGGGAACTCTAATTACGATCTTTCTGAGATCGAGTGTGCGTAGCGGCCTTCCCAACCAGAGGAACCCTCCTATACAATAATGTGACACAATCTACATCAACTGAATTAAAGAGAGAAATCTTCATAACCATACTTGATGGAAATTGTGCCACATCATTGCATATGAGGGAATGCTCTCATATATATTGATTATATATATATAATATATATATATAAGAAAACCTTATGTCGACGTAAGTGGACATGCCACCCAAAGTATATATGAGACAAACTTATGTCGACGGTAAGTGGATGCATCCACCAAAGTTTCTATCCATTGATGAAAAGTCTGCTTTCATATGATGCACGGATCTCTAGGTATTATCAAATGATAGAAACTTTATGATGACCACTTAAAAGTGTGACATAAGTTCTATTATATATATATATAATATATATATATATGTTATATAGTATATTGTGAGATTGTGAGCTCCAATTCTATCGTGCAGCTAGACTATCGGCTTCATCAAATTCATGATGCACAGCCATACATCTTATTCAACACGTCATCAAATGTATATAGTAAATTTTTCACATAACTGAGTCTTCTGGAGTATCGGGAGTATGAATCAAACTAGTTGATATGTTTAATTTTTTAGACAGCTTAACATCCGTCCCTTCTACACATAGCTAAACAATGGTTAAAATTTTCAAAATAATATAATTTTTTCTATATATAGATCATGATGAGTGAGAATCACGATGAGCGGTGTCGATCATACATTTCAAGTAGCCTATTGAGCTATGAGCTAGTTCACGATAAGAATTTGAGCTCACCATCTCATTTTATCATTTTCATATATATATATATATATATATATATATAGATAATATATATAGATAGAGAAATAGGTATGCTTAGTACCAAGCACAAGTTTTTGTGCTTAGTAGTGAGGTGGCATCTTCCTCTCCACTCATTAAAATCGGGACACATATTCACATGGTTGGGAAGTGGTTGGGAATTGGAATGAGTGGATGAGAATATAACACCTCACTACCAGCATACCCCATTTTTCTCAATATATATATATATATATATATATATATATATATAATATATATATTGAAAACTGTTGATTGAAAGGCTCATATGCACACATGCCCACGAAGGATGCTCATCAAAGCTTCCATAAATTACACAGATGATCGAAAATCCATCACCTTCATAGTTCTACATCAATGAATTTTTATTCTGCTTTTGTTTGATAGACAAATTTCAATTGCAACAACTAGCATGATTGCTACAAATATAAAGCAATAACTAAATTACAAAACTGTCGTAGATAACTAAAATGGTTGTTTCTTACCGTACGCTTCAGTTTTCCATTTCCAGGACCATCCCCACCACATCCAGTGATAACCTTGAGAAATTGGATAGCTATGCCAAAATATTGCAATTAGCTTCATGAAATTATAAACATTTTTATAGAATATCTCAATGAGCTTAATTAAATAGATAAAAAATTAAGGTAATTGATCCTTACAAGGAATATATGTAAACAACATGAGGTGAAGCTTCAAAAGTTGAATTCCTTGTTTGACATGCTGGCCATGCAGATCAATGGTGACTACATTTCTTATACCTTTGTTTCTGCATATAAATTGTGCACCAATATTAAAGTGTCCTTATAGAAACAAAATCAGCACAGAAAGGAAAACTTCACCCACCTGGCTTTAAATATCTCCCGACTGGCTTTCTCATCTTCCTTACGGGCCAGGTCACGATGAATTCTCCCCTAAACCAAATAAAACACATATTAGTCATATATAGTTAGTACAGGTACAGAACACACATTATCATCTTCATTTATGCCTTTTCCCATCAAAACAGATCTAGCGTGGAGCATAACTCGAAGTCATGAGCTCCACAAGAAATGTGGGCGATGGTTCAACCTGCTGAGAAATTAAGAAAATAAGCATAGCTAAAGCAAGACATTAGACCAAATGAATGAGATGTAATGTGTTAAAAGATAGGATAAGTTATGAGAAGTTAGGGAAAGCTTCAAAGTTTATAAATGAGGAAGCTTATCTGATATGGTATGCATATGCTCTCCAATGTGCAGTTAAAGGGAGTAACAGGACATAGGGGTAGACAAAGATGAACATAGAATGAAGAACTAATGGGACTTTAATGTTGGACAAAATATTAGTAGAGTCGAATTGGATACCAGCAAAACAGGAAAAGAAGTCTGTGCTACTTGTTGCTCTTGTAACCTCTTATGCACCGCATACCAGCATAATATAACTGGCCCAGAGGGAAAACAAGGCTCTGCTACTTGTTACTGCTGTAATACTTAAGCACCTACTACTGCTATGATTACTGATGTCTCCTTCAGGGATAAACATACAGCAGGTGTTTATAAAAGATTAAAAAAGGGAAAACAATTAACCTCAAAAAAGTTAATAGGAACGAATAAAGATAAATTTGAGGCCAGCTTAGGAGATGATGTTACTAACAGTATAAATATCAACATGAATTGTCCATAAAGTAGACTGATGGTTGAAAACTGCTTATGCCAATAAGAAAGAGCTCCATAACTTAGGAAAACCAACCAAGATAGTTATCTTCTTGTTATTGTTTTAAATAGTCTGACATGTCCGTGATATGTTGTTCTGTAAGGTGAGCGGCAAAATATGATTTTCATAGCGATTATCAGTATTGGTAAATTTTGGCGATATACCAGGATTTTCCCCACGCATCAGGCAACATTTCAGCCTAAACAAAAAGACAAATGTCACAATATTGGTTCGGGCTTTTATTTCTTAGGGTTTAGGGATCATTGACATCTAAACTCAAGATTGTTTCCGTTAATATAAATACTCAAAAGAGAAAAATAGGGTTTGATTAAGCCCTATTCTTTTGCGAGAGTTTTGCAGCTCTTCCCGTTTTTGGTCATTCACCAGAAGATAGACATGCGTGCTGCAGTGCCACCCCAACCACGCCTGAATGTTGCCGCCAATTAAGCCACAGTCTCGTATCATTTAAATCAATCTCCTCATTATCTGCACTGATGTTCTGTGAAACTTCGGCTTAGGAGATGTCAAAAAAGGCATAACTTGGAATTGTATACAAATAGGTTTTGTACTATCCTTTACACTTGGAAATGTTATTGATTTCTTTAAAAAATTCAATGTTTAAACATGAAAATAACATAACACTTTTTCTTCACAACTCGATTCTCTGGTGCATCAAGAATGGACATTTATGATATGTATACAAACTATCCAAAATGACATCCTGATATTTGACAAATATCCCTGATATATCTCCAGTAGCTGCCACCAAATATGGAATTTTTTCGCCCAACATGAATTCAACATCTGACATTTAGAATATTGCGTATTATTACCAACACAAAAGTTAAAAATAAACATGTAAAATCTAATTCAAAACTAAGCTCTCTATGCAATGATTTTGATAATCTCATACTCCAAGGTTGTTGAAACGTTGAACACAAGAGTTCATTATTTTCATGTTGAGTTTACTGACCTAAAATGTGTAAACGGCAAGAA